ACAGAGTGAGTTACAGGACAGGCTCAAAAGCTACACAGAGAAACCCTGTTTCAAATAATAATAATAATAATAATAATAATAATAATAATAATAATAATGTCCTTAAAATGAATAGAGTAAAAAATAATAAACTATCTAAAGATGGGAAATGCATAGAGTCTGGATTCTGTATGTTACTGTTTTGTCTTTGGATTTTCTGATTGCTGATGAAGGAAAGACAGCTGATAAAACACATTGGATTATGAAAACTGCTGGATTAAAAAAGCTATATATTTTTAAAATATCTTGACTTCAAAATGGAAGTCAAAAGGTATGTTGCCTTGGGAGAGAGGTTATGCTTTTATTTCCACAGAAAGGAAAAGCTATAGATTCATTCAAGGTTAAAGATGATCAAGTTAGATTGAGGAAGACCCCTTGAAAATTCTTACTACAGACATAAAGAAATAAACCTTAAAAAACTATAAAACATGTAACATATTTTACCTGCTCAAACCAATTCTTACACAAAAGATCATCTTTGACTAGCATGTATTTTCAGAGCAAGGGGGTCAGACACCAATGAAAACAAATGGCCCAGATGATCCAGCCTCTCAAAATGCCTCTGTTGCAGTTTTCTCAGAGTTCTGAACTCAGAATAGCTTCAAGGCTGCTGGCTGAGGTGGTCCAGCTTCACAAACTATTCCAAGCCTCAACCCTGAATTTTCTCAGGGTCCCCCAAAGATGCCAATGCCCTCAAACATCAGGAAGTAGTCCAGAGAACAATGTCCACATCCCTAAAAGATAGATTATGGATATTTATTATCAATTAAGGGAGGATGGTTACAAACTGTTACTGGTCTTAGTAAAAGAAGACTAAATGAAACAGTTTAATTCAAAGATCTCTTCCTAAAGAAAAAAGGGGGGTATGATATAGGAATAATAGGAAAAAAGCGTAGACTACTGAATCTTCTTTAGTCCAAAAAACAACTATTATTAGATATTTTAGATTGGTATAGATTTTGGTTTATTAATACAAATTTAAAGTTATTTTTTATACTGTATGTATGTTTCTACTCCTGTTTGGAGTATTGTGCTTATATAGTTCATTTAAAAATATAATGTATAGCTAAGATATAGAGGTAATAATCAAACTGGTAGTCATATTAGGTATGTTTTCAAGGTTAAACAGATGTATTTAGATAGATGGCCTTCAAACATTTGAAAGACCTACAGAATATGGAATTTAAAATGTTTTAATAACATAAGACTTTTCTTGACAGTGAGACGTGCTCCTGGTAGAACCAATTTACTTCAGAGAAGATGATGGGCATTGAGGAAATTCTGTATGGACTTTATCTTTGTGGAAAAAAAGTAGCCATTTGGGCAAGAAAGAGAGGAAGGAAGGAAGAAAGAAAGAAAGGGAGAGGGAGAGAAAGAAAGACAGAGAGAGAGAGAAAGAAAGAAAACTGCCCTTGTCTCAATTGCTAACAGTATATTGTACAAACTGGAGCAGAAAGAGTAAAACAACAACAACAACAACAAAAAAGGTGACTGCCAAACTGCCAAGACAGGGTAGGACAGTTCTTCAAAATCCCCTGCTTCTCAAAAAAAGTTTGTCAACCAGGAGGTGGTAGCACACCCTTTCAATCCCAGCACTCAGAAGGCAAAGGCAGGTGGATCTCTGTGAGTTTCAGGCCAGCCTGAACTACAGAGTTGAGTTCCAGGACAGCCAGGGTTGTTGCATGGAGAAACCGTGTCTCACAAAACCAAAACAAACAAACAAACAAACAAAAAGTCTGTCAGATATGCTGGGCCTATAGGCCAAAGTTGGATGCCCTACTGTTACATAAGGATTTTGGGTAACTGTCCAGGCAGCCAGATGTCCCTGTCACTGGGTAACATTACATCCTTCTGGGATCTTTGATGGAGTTAAAGACTAAATACACTTTAAGTTTTTCTTAGTTAAGATAAAAAGGTAAATTAGGTATAAAACTATAAACCCACAAAGATAAATAATATTTTCTCTAAATCTGCCAAATACAAATGGAATGGATATTGTAACTATTATTCTTACTTGATAACTGTTTTTATAATATATATAATGTGTTGCTCTCATTGTTAAGACAAAGCTGATTGGCTGATAGCTAGACAGGGTTTGGGGGGAAGAGAGAATGCTGGGAAGATAAGCAGAGCCCAAGCAGATGCAGAGGGAAGCAAGAAAAGCATACCCTGTTGAAAGACGGTACAGCCACATGGCAGAGGGAAGATAAGAAATGTGGGTCAATTTAAAATGTAAAAGTTAGCTAGTGCCAGGCCTGAGCTATCCACCAAGCATTTATAATTAGTAAATAGTCTCTGAGTGGTCATTTGGAACTGGCTGGTAGGACAGAAAATTCAGCCTACACCATTTTTTGTTTGTTTTTTCAAGACAGGGTTTCTCTATAGCTTTGGAGCCTGTCCTGAAACTTGGTAGACCAGGCTGGCCCCTAACTCACTGAGATCCACCTGCCTCTGCTTTGACAGTGCTGGGATTAAAGGCAAGCGCCACCACCACATGGCTTTCCAGTTTTTCTATTTTGGTTTAGCTATTGTAACTACAGTAATTTGGATTCACAAAAGTTCAGTTCTTTAATCCAGATTCTTGATTGCCTGGTCTGTGAACCAGAGAAATGGCCATTCAGGGCTTTTAGTGATCATCTAAAATTGATTACTCACTACTCATTGCTAATGTCAACTACCGTCACAGCAGGAAAGCTTTCACCCTCCTTCTTGCCCATCCCTTTCGGTGCTGTGACTACACCCGCTTGACAGTTGGTCAGAAAACTCAATCCTTACACAAGCCCCTCTTCGTTTGTAAGTCCCCAGTAAAAGCCAGCAAAGTCTGAGGACACTCATTAACTGGCCTATTTTTCCTTCTCACAGGCCAATCAAGACCCAGCCTGGAAGAAATTGCAGGTCTATCAGTCCTGGGCAGCAGAGGCAGGATTAAATGTTCAAAGCAACTCTAAATTACATAGCGTGAGGCAAGCCTGAGCTACAGAAGACATTATCTAAACCAGTGGCTCTCAACCTTCCTAATGTTGTGAATCTTTAATATTGTTCCTCATGTTCTGGGGATTCCTCCATGACTATAAAATTACTTTAACTTCATGACTACTGTTATGATCTGTAATATAAATATCCGTGTTTTCTGAGTCTTAGGCCATGCCTATGATAGGATCATTCCATGCCCCTAAGGGAGTTGCAACCCCCTAGCTTGAGAACCACCACCCTAAATTGATAGAAACAAATAAATAAATAAAAATCAGTTAAGAAAACAATGGAGTGAAATTTGTAATGACTGGAAAACACTGGAAAACAGAAACAAGAGTAAAGCAATGCATTTAAAGAAAATAATTTTTTTAAATGATACAAATAATTGAATTTTTTAATGATAAAAATAACTGGAAGAACACTTAAACTGACTTTGAAGAGAGTAGGCACTTCCCTGGTAGAAAGAATACCATTGTATGACTTTGTCCCATGTAAAATGTTAGCTGCTGAGTGCTGTAAGGTGACACAGCCAGTGGCCTGTGTCTCAAACCTCTGAGCTGACTTAACTATGTCAACCAGGATAGCACATAAATGCATATGAGAGCTCCCTAACTTGAAACTGAATACTCAGTAGTTCAAGCTACCCTCCCTAAATTTTACACCCACCAATTTTTGACAAAAAATTTTGACATCTTCATTCACATGGAAGGAGTTAATACATGCTATGAAATTCCACAAAAAGTCACTCACCCTGCCCCATCAGGTCCTTCTTTGTAATGGGGACCCCTGCAGCTCACTGCCTTAACCTTCAGTCTGTGATCTAGCTACTGCCTAGTCTCTTTCCCCTGCAGTGTACACGGTAACTGTTCCTCCTCTGCTGTTCTGAAGCTGCGCTCCACACACAAACCCTTTTCTTGTTACTTTGATGGACAGCCCACTACATGATTCTAACCGGTCATTTTAGAACTCTGTGGTGCTACAGACTTGTAATCCAGGAATTTAGGGTGGTTAGTCAGGAGGACAGCAAGGGCAATACCCTGTGAGGCTAAGGACAGGGTTCAAGTCCACCTCAGTCTTACACTGGAGAACTTAACCAAAACCACTTTTCAGAAAGGTTGAAGATGTAGCTGTTCTAGAATTAATACACCTTTATGGCACACCAGGACTCAATGCTGGGTGTGACTGAAATGGGCATATTAAAGGCCTGTTCTTTGATGGGGAAGTGGGCATTTTGGCTGCTTGTGAATCAGGGTTGTCTCCTTTGTTATGGAAATGTAGTTTAACACCTGGATAATCCTGGAGAACAAACATTTACATTTTATCATACTAATCTCAAACAGGCAGGGTTTGCAAACTACTTATCTTTGGGGTTTTGGGAGTCATCCCACCCTTAACTAAATTCTACACTGTGCCTTGGTAAATCCTCATATCATCAATTCTATTACCATCAAGTCTACTCTTAAGCATCACAGTTGGGCAGGGAAGTGCACCTCTACCCAGGAGATAGTGTTGACAAGCTCCACAGCATTAACTCCAGATGGATCCTAAACCAAATGTTAAATGCTAAAAGTGCAGAACTTCGGGAAAATACTAGAGAGCCCCGTACTCTCCGAGTATGGTAAATCTGCCACCCATCAGGACAATCAAGGACTGCAGGCGCCAGCATTTCACAGAGACTGCAACGAGGATGTTGCTAAGCACCGTCCCGCTCCCAAAGCTCTGCACACACACACAGCCCGGGAAATGCAGGTGTTGGGGAGCTGCCACACAGACCCAGGAGATGCTAAGGACCACGCAGGACATCCAGGACCATGCTGGAAGACACTGAACTCTGCGTCTGCTCGCAGGCTCCCAGCCAGCCAGCGAAGGACCCAACACACAGGCTCGCCCAACTCAGCCGGTCGCTCCTCCCACTCCGGGGACACCCGCATCTCACTGACCATGGCCGGCCACTCCTCCCCGCCTGGGGACAGCAGTCCCTCACTCACCGTGGTGCTGCTGCAGAGCTCGCCCATGCTCTCCTCACAGAGGAGTCCCCGGAGCAGAGCACTCACACACAAAATATGAGATTTTTCTCAGACTAGCTGAGCCAGAGCCTGGCCCCGGAAGAACCCGCCCACCGGATATGATGGAGGCTCTGATTGGCTAGTGAAGCCTGAGCGAGCTGAGAGAGGCTCCCTGCACAGGGGTCTCCAGACCTGTCTTCCACCCCAAGCATGGACCTATTTCAGACTAGCGGAAGATTTGTACCAGATTCAAAAGCAAGTCTGTCGTTATTGTAAACTAACTAATGGGTTCCGTTTTAAATGTAAGCATACAAATTCAGGAGGAGGCTGATCAGACAATGTTGTGCAAGAGGAACACAGGTTACCTCAATAACATCACAGACAAACTTCACAGTTTCCTTACAACTGATGGTGTGTAGAAAGACATGGGTTCTCAGGATCTGAAGCAACACCTTCACAAAGCCTGGCCCCAGACCTTCACCGGCTCTCATAAGCATATCCCTGGTTAAGAGAAGGGGTCTGTTTTTGCTCTATATATCAGGTCCTTAGGGGAACCTCACAAGGCCTAGCCAGGTTGCCAAACTGAGTGAGGTCTACTTTCTCAAGTAATCTTCTATAAAGTTCTGCACTTTGCATTTCACACTTAGGTGTAAGAAGCATTTGGAGTTAATTTATGGATGTTATGAGTGGCATCTCATGTACTGGATAACACTCCTCTAATAAGTTGTGATGTAGATGAATAGAATTGTGGATAGAAAGGATTTACCAATACTTGGGAATTAGGTAAGTCACACAAAATAGAACGTACCTAAGGGAGGGCTGCCTCTAAAATATCCCCCAAATATCTAGTGTGTTAACTACAACTGTTAGAGATTAGGATGCTAGGACGTAAATGTCCATTCACCTTTTATGTATATTGTTATTGGTCAAATGCCTCTGGTAAAACAGCTAATGGAATGCTCATCCATGGAGAGGGGAGAGACCTCTCTATAGTAAACTGAAACATCATAGTTGTCAAAGGGATTTCCTAGTTGTGTTGCACATTAATTGAATGATGTTTTGTTATGTATTTGCTGTACATCCATTAAAAATGAAAAACATGGTTATATTAGTGATGTCATGTATTATATGACAAAAGTCTTGCATTTTCTCTAAGCTTTAGTTTAACAGATTGCACCTACGAAATATTACAATGAATAGGCATAACCTGACAGCGTAAAGTGAGTGACTGTGTAATTTCTGTGGACTAATTATTTGTGCCATGGGAATAACGGCAGACAAAATTGCACAAACGATTTGAAGGTTAGCGTGAACTAGATAGTATTCAGTTCTCCTTTAGGTAAGACTTCTCTACTGTTAAGTGAAAACGTTGTTGACAAAATCAAGTCTGGTCAGAGGATTGAAACAGGCCATTTGTCTTAGCATCTGACAGCTGATTCCAATTCATCCCCAGGGAGGGTCCACCACACTAGCTTCTGAGGCACAGGCGGCTACTCTCCCTGTCTGGGGACAGAAGCTCCTTGCTCACCATGTCGTGGCATCTGAGCTCACTTGTACTTGCTGCACAGCTCCCAGCAGTCATGTTCACATTGCAGCACATGCCCCCACTCCCAAGTCCCTCGTCAGAGGAGCGAGTGAACAGCAATGAACCCAGAAGAGCCTCCACGCCATCCGTGTGTGGGCGTCCTTCTGGAGGCCCTGAATGGCTAGTGAGGCCTGGGTGATCAGGGTAGTTCTCATGAGAGAGAGTTGCTGAAGGGTGCCACTATAGTTCTGAACTCTGGCTTCAACCCCAGGCACAGACCTGTCCCAGATCTGCAAAGATTTGTATTACAGTAGAACTCCTTCCTGACCTCTAACAGCTAACCCTTGCTGTCTTCCTGTATGCTATATGCACTTCCTTTCTTCCTCCTGAGTACAGGGCCACCAGTGTGCATACAGCATGCAGGAGTAATGCCCCTGCCTCCCAGGTTGAAGGACATCTAGCCTGATCACAAGTCAAATTTAAATTCACCAGGCTTCAGGAATTTCAACAAGGCACACCTAGAATTTTTCACACCTCTCTCAGCTGCCCTCATTAGCTAAAATATTAACACTTTCAAGCTCTCTACGGTGGCAACATCCTATTATGCCAGCACTTGGAAGGTGGAGGCAGGGCATCCAAAGTCAAAACCAGATTTAGCTATGACCTGAAACCCCAGAGAAAAGAGTCCTGAAAGGTGCAGTGTTGAAGGTATAGACTAAGGATAAGAAGACAAAGATAGAAATTTGGGGTTCACTTTTATCCTCTCTTTGCTCTCTTTCTTGCTCTTTTCATGCCTCCCTCTCTCTTTCTCTCCCCCTTTCTCTCTCACTTCTCCCCCTCTCACTCTCCCCCTCCTCCCCTTTAATAAACCCCAGGTGGTTAACATAGAAAAAAAGAAATTTGGGGTTCAGTAGGTCTGGAATGAGCTGATGCATCATGCCCAGCAAGTTTCAGAAGTAAAGCATGTAATATACTATTTTTAGGGGGAGATGGGGCAGAGTGAGTTCTAGATATTACCTTTTTTTAAAACATGGATACCTACTCTATTCTCTGTACTGAGAAAAATGATATAAGAGCATCACTATGAGGGGTAGAGAAGCCTGGGTTATAAGCAATATATTTTCTCCAAAAACAAAGGACAGCATTATGGAGGGCTCCCCTACCCCAGCTGTATGGACAACTGGAGTCATTCATTGTCAGTCCATGACAATCTGTAACCCTATTTAAAAGGCATATGATTTGCTCTTCTGTCCTTCTTGGCCACCAACCATGAAGGCAGTGTCCAGACATACTGTCCTGGCTGGGTTGACCTCAACATTACACAAGCTAGTCATCAAAGAAGAAGGAACCTCCGTTAAGAAAATGTCCCCATAAGATCAAGTATAAAAGACTTGGTGACAAGCCAGCAAGCAGCACACTTCAATGGCCTCCGGCTTGGATCCTGTCTCCAGTTTCCAGCTTTGTTTGAGTTCCTATGCTGGTTTCATTCGATGATGTAAGTACAAGGATGAGGAAGTAAAATCTTTCCTCCCCAAGTTACTTTTGTCATGGTGTTTTGTTGCTGCTACGTGTTGGGCGTGGTCAGTATTGTGGGTATGTGAGATCTCTTCCTACAGTGTTTCAACACAGCAATAGTAGCCCTGACAAAGACAAGTTGCTACCCAAAGTGTAACAGACCTGGCCATATTTTGAGGGCATAACTGGATGGTGGCATATAGAAGAATGAAAATAGAGCCACACTTATTACCCTGAACAAAACGCAAGTCCAAGTGGATCAAAGACCTCAGCATAAATCCAGTTACACAGAAACTGATAAAGTGGGAAGTGACCTTGAATGCATTGGCCCAGAAGACAAATTCATGGATAGGACACCAGTAACACACACACTCAGATTGACAATTAAGAAGTGGGACATCCTGAAACTGAAAGGCAAAGGATACTATCAATAAGACAAAAATGACAAGCTATATAGAGAATGGCACTAGATCTTCACAAACCCCATATATGACAGAGGACTGACCTCCAAAATATATAAAGAACTGAAGAAACTAGACAGAAACAAACCAAATAATCCAATTAAAAATGGGGTACAGACCTAAACAGAAAACTCTCAACAAAAGAATTTCAAATGGCTGAGACACATTTAAAGAACTGTTAAACATCCTTAACCATCAGGAAATACAAATCAAAATGACTCTGAAATACCATCTTACACCTATCAGAATAGCTAATATCAAAACACTAATGAAGGCTCTGTGCACAACTAGCCAAGACCAAGGGACTGCGCACTGAGGCTCCCAACCAGCGGGAGTCAACCCACCCAGAGACTGCCAGCATCCTGGTCCCTCTCTATGCCCAGGGGACTAGGTAGACCTGGGCATGTCTCTGGCCCAACATCCAATACCCTGTGGGCAACCAGCTGTGACCTAGGGAGTGCACACTGCACATCCCATCCCAATGGAAGTCAGCCTGCCCAGAGACTGCCAGCATCCAAGTCCCATTCTCTACCCACAGGATAGGTGAGGTGAGCATGGGCCTGTTTCCAGGCCACCTTCCAGTGCCTTAGACAGAACCAACTGAGACCTAGGGACTACATACTGAGGATCCTATCCCGAAAGGGTCCAGCCTACCCAAAGACTGCCTCCATCCACACAAGAGGAAAGTCACCAGAGTATTGAACCTGCTCGCACCCACCAGAAGGGAACCATAGTCACATACCCACCAGGAAAGGAAGAGACTCCTTCTGCACCCACTCGAAGAAATGATGGGAAGGAGACAATATAAAAACACACTCAGCAACAGAAAAACCAATATGACACCGCCAGAGTTTACAGACTCTACACCAGCAAGACCTGAACACCCCAATGCAGATGAAGCAGAAGAAAAACACTTTAAAAACAATTTCATGAAAATTATACAGGCCCACAAACAGGATATCAGAAAATCCCTTAAAGAAATGGAAGAAAAAACAAATCAAAACAATCAAACAAATGCAATAAAGGGAGGAAAAAACAAAGCAAAAATCGCAAGAAACAATGCAAACAGTGCAAGGGTTGAAAACTGAAATAGAGACAATAAAAAAAGCACAATCTGAAGGAATGCTGGAAATAGAAAAACTGGGAAAATGGTCAGGTACTACAGATGCAAGCATAACCAACAGAATGCAAAAGATGGAAGAGAGAATCTCAGGTGTTGAAGATACACTAGGGTAAATAGATTCATTGACCAAAGAAAACCTTAAGTCCAACAAATCCCTAACACAAAATATCCAGGAAATATGGGACGCTGTGAAAAGGCCAAACCTAAGAATAATAGGTATACAAGAAGATGAAGAAACCCATCTCAAATGTGCAGAAAACATATTCAATAAAATCATAGAAGAAAAGTTTCCCAACCTAAGGAAAGATATGCCAATGAAGGTACAAGAAGCCTACAGAACACCAAATAGAGTGGACCACAAAAGGAAGTCCCCTCACTACATAATAATAAAAACCCCAAAAATAAGGAATAAAAAAAGAATATTAAGAGCAGCAAAGGAAAAAGTTCAAATAACATACAAAGGCAAGCATATCAGGATTA